TTACTGTTTAATTTAAGACAAAACATGCAGATAACTTTATAATAGTTTTCTAACATAAGCAATCATTAAGAAAGACAAAATCCAATTGGTCAAATACCAAAAATTACCTATTAATACCAAAAAAAGTTTCTAAAAAGAAAAAAGATATTAAAAAAACAATGCCCTACATATCTGAAATAGATACAAATTTTATTAGCAACTCTTTGTGTATAGCTATATAATGTGCCCCTTTTTTACAAATGTTCATTTATTAGTAATAGTAATATAGATGCTGTAGCCAGTTCACAAGTTCAAATCACAAAACACATACACGGTTATATATGCAGTATGACAGCCTACACTACTCTTTATCTTACTTATAATAATTTACAATTTGTTAAAAATCAAAATTATATATAAAAAAATCAGAGTTGAATAAATTTCACAAAATTTATAATAAAAATCTATCAAGTGTTGCTTTAAAAGAGTTCAAAGAGTGCGCATTCATAACGTGAGTATTGGTAATTAGGGCCGATGACACGGGGGGAGGGGGGAAGGGAGGCACGTGCTCCCCCTACACACACACACACTTTTTTTCTGAAGGACCTTTTTTTTAAAAAATATAAGAAATTTCTAGATATAGACGACTTTTTTAAGAATTGACGATGCTGCCCCCCCCCCCCCCCACTTCGAAACCCGTGTTGTCGGCCCTGGTAATGCATTCCATTCATTCGGAATACGGTAACTGAAGAACGCTTGTCGAAGACGACATTTCATGACAAATATAAATTTCATTATGTTATTATAATTTCCTAATATAATGTTTTATGTAAACAAATCGTTTTTTTTTTTAACGTTATCAAGTAATATCTAAAATACATTATATACGTTAAATGTTCGATTAACTCTAAACACGCTCAAAAATATTTATATTTAAAAAGTGATTTTGGAAAAAATTTATAATAAAAACAACAATAAAATTAACATTATACAATTTTAGTGTTTTGTAAAATTTTTATCAGGAACTTGTTATTTTGATTCTCAAAAGTGAAAAATCATTATTTTAAAAACAAAATACGCAATAAATTTTTATCAATGTTAAATTTTTTTAATTTCAAATAAATACGCAATAATTTTCTATTAATGTTAAATTTTTTGAAATTTTAAATAAATACACAATAATTTTCTATCAATATTAATTTTTTTTTAATTTTAAATAAATATACAATAATTTTCTAAAAATGGTTACAAATATATTAAATATTAATCTTAACGACTTTTTTAAAACAAAATTTGGTGAAAAGTCGGTTTCGTATATTTTTTAAAGTTTGAATCGCGTTTTTCTCAAAATTTTTACGAATACAATTATAAATATAAATATAACATCTTTGAAAAATGTAAATATACTATCTTTATACAATTGGTTTTATAAGTGATAATAACAACAATAATAAAACAATAGTTAAAAATAATTAAGAAAGTATATATAAAAATTACATACGAAGATTTCGTGACAAAATAATAAAAAATGCAGGACTTCGAAAAAAGTCCAATGCTTTTAAGTTAAACACTCGAATTAAGCTACTCGGTATAGTTAAGGGGATTTTCAAATTAATCGAATTCTTTTATTTGAAATTAGCATGGTTTTATAAGCATATTATGTCCAAACAAAAGCTTTAGATGCTATAATTTTTTTTTTGCTTTAGGTTTTTTTAATATTTGAAGATACTTTTCTCTTTTTATATAATTTTCAAAACCTTTTTACTACCCGTAACAGTGAATCTAAAGAACACTATTTTGGAGTCTTTAAATCAATTCCGCTCATTGGGGTTCTTTTAAAAAAGTTTCTTAATTTACTATAGATCCTAGTTCTAATCGGTTCTGACGTATATTAATTATATATAGTTGTCAAAATACAATATTTCTATCAATTTTTACAAAAAATACTAGAATCCTGACCAAGAAAGAGCTTTTAATTAAGAAAAAGCGCCAATCAGCGATCAGAAGAAGAGCTTTTAATTAAGAAAAAGCGCCAATCAGCGATCAGAAGAAGAGCTTTTAATTAAGTAAAAGCGCCAATCAGCGATCAAAACATTATTAAACTATGATCTTCATTTTACCTAAAACACGTATTTAGTTGAAATCTCATTCAAATTTGGTCAAGTGATTGGGATTTTAAAAAGATTTTTTTGAAAAAAATAGATTCTGTGGTCTGGGTTTTTTCGCAACAAAAAATGTTTATTTATGATACCGCAAAATTTATCATTTGAATTTTTTTCGTCTTATTATAATTCGCAGATCTGATCATTTAACGGAAATATGTAATAGTCAATAAAATATCATACAGACGCTAAAATATTTTAAAACTGCCTTAATTACACTGACTATGCAGTTACACATCTATTATGTTACGTAATTATTTTACCAGATTTATGTTTATGGTGCAAAAATCTTTGGAACCTTGTCAAAAATGCGTAAAAATAAAAGTTTTCATAGGCTATCATGAACTTAACCCTCAAAATATATGTTTGTTTTTTTTAATTTCAAAATTTACGTTTTGAAACAACTCAAATATTTTTAAATAGCAGCGTACGAACTACGCAACGCTAAACTTTTTTAAAACATAGAAATAGGAGAATCACTTGCTCTTTTGCGCGGAGGTTTTTACCAAACTTTAAGGACAATTTTAATTTTTGGTTTAATTAAAGACTCTACGAAGGAAAACTTCTGATCTTACTTGTTTTGTTATTTTAGTAAAATTTAGCGTTGCGTAATTTATGGATGATTCCTTACTCAAAATATATATTATTTTTGCTATGGTCCTACCAATAATATAGTAAAAGCGTTAATTTATTTGTTTAAAATCATCGTATAGATAATTTATCCTGCTAATACCACTATAACGTAAATTTTTCATTTTATTGATTAAAAATAAATTAATTTATTTTGAAAATTGACTGTTGTAAAAAAAATTTTTAACAATCATATTCATTTCAATTAACTTTTTTCAAGAAAACTTATGAATTATTTTTTTTTTTTTTGAATCCGATGAATTGTTATTAACATACAATAGTAAAATGAAATTTTTTGATAAAACTATAGTAAAACAAAACAACTTAAATTTTGTCTAAAAAATTAGAATTTTTTTTTTTAAATCAAAACAAAAAATGTTATTAGAAAATTTCAGGATAACGGAATTCAATAGTTTAAAGTAAATATCCCGGAAAATAAATAGTTATTGATTTTCGGTCCTCTATAAATCAAAAACACCGGTTGAAATTCATTTTAATAACATAATTTATATTTTAAAATTCAGACAGCTGTTTACCATTTAAAAAAAAAAAATGTAATTTGCAAAAGTTATTTTAATTGCTGGTTAGACAATTTCTTGATTGCCAAGGTGAGGCGAGGGTGGAGAAAGCGAGGGTGGAAAAAATAAAGGTGGAGATATAATAAGGGTAGTCACCTGGTGATTTTAAACCTTATTCCATACAAATTAATAATAAGCTATATTTAGATTTAACTTCTAAGTCAGCAATATAAAGTTAAAAATAAAAAGTAACTATTCAAAAAAGTAGAAAACTTTGTGACGAAATTTGGTTTCTATATTTTATTGTAAACTATTGTGGCAACAAGTAAAAGCTATCCTGTCAATATTTTGCATAAATTGTGTTATTGTATAAATATACGTGTTCATATATACAAACATATAAGTACTTTAGCGACATTCTTTTTTGTATTTAATACTGATGACTACCAACTTTTTCTCTACTGGATGAACACTAAAAAAATGGTTTACATATTACACATCTTTTTTTATTGTTGGTCTTTAGTATACTTTTAGACACACTGCTCCAAGCCGTTCTCTCCGTCCTGTTCAACAGCTTTGCGAAATCCTCAGATTTTATGATCTTCTTGATCTGTGGTCAGACAAATATTCCAGCCCTAACCTTAGCCTCGGACAGCTTTGGAAAAAGATCTTTGAGGTATTGAAATGCTAACAGCCTAACTTGATGTGCAGCTGTGGCATAAGCACTTTATGAGGTTCTATCATCGGCTCCCACTTCACATTGTTATTCCTAATAGAAAACTTGCTCCGTTGCGGCCAGTCCTTTGTGCGGTAGTGCCCCTTAATGTCACGGTTATCCCCTAGACAGAAGAAATAAGAAAATTTTGTGAAACCTCCTTAAAGATCATATACTGTATCTGTTTATGTATCCTCTTTTCACTATTGACTCTACAAATCCTTATGGTAAGATACATTTAAAACATAATTACATAGATTTTTTTTTTTCTTAGAAAATTGCAAATAAGCAGTTAAAAGATTCAAAAACAGTATTTTTGCAACAGTAATTAGAAAGAATAAAAAATTTTATTTAAAACTTTACTATAGTGTTATTGATCTTTCATTAAATTGTCATCTGTCTGAATCATTTATTATTTTTATTGGTTATTTTTAAATGCAGAATAAATAGAAAGATTACGCACATAGATATAAATTACTTTATTGAAAAATGCAATTATCTCCATGTAAAGTTTACAACCTCTTACCCTATCAACGTTTGAAGATGTTTTTTAACTTTTTTAAGTTATAATATTAATACGTTAAAAGATTTTTTAATAAAATTCAAATGTATTATTCAAATATAAAACTACTTTAAATTTTTTAAATATGTTTAAATTCTATTCATATTTAAAGAATTTAAATCTATTTTCCCCATTAAGACAGATGATGCCAACTTTTTAGGTATTTTTGAATATATATATATATATATATATATATATATATATATATATATATATATATATATATATATATATATATATATATATATATATATATATATATATTACATTACAGATAGATAGATATTGGTATATATAATAGAAAGTTCAACGGTAAACCTTTTTACTAAATACTTTTACTATCAAAACTATATCAAACAAACCTTTAATTGAGCTTTAATAAACCTTTAAAATTTTTAGTTTGACTTAATTTTGTTTATTTTATTTTTAGCATTTCATTTTAGAACCCTAATACAATAAATTTTTAAAAAAACTATAAATTATATATATTTCAAGTTTTTACCAGCGTCCGAAAGCAGACCAAAATGATTTATCACTGGAGCGTTATTGTTAGAATTGTATTTTACGTAATTTTTTTCGTATGTGGATTAATCGGGAATATTATGATTGTTTTGTTCTTCAGCATAAAAATGAAAAAAACTTCTCACTTTCGTTGGTTCATTGTTCACCTTGCAATTGCTGATTGCTTTTACGCCGTTGTATCCCCAATACATTTAATATACTTACTTGCAACAAACGAAAAGTGGACTATTGGTACAGAACTTTGCAAAATATTAACCATCTCTGGACCGCTTTCGGTAAATGTCAGCGCATGGATACTGTGTCTAATGGGATATGAAAGATATCGAGTTGTTTGTCATCCTTTTGCTAGACGATTTTCAAAAAAAATGATACACATATCAGTCGGTTTGGTATGGATAGCTTGTATTGGGCTGAAAGTATTTACTTATATTAGAATCAGAGTTACAAATAATGAGTGCTACGTTCATTTCAATGATGTAATGGAGCAAACAGTAAATGCAGGGTTGTCTCTGCTGGCTGAGGGTATTGTTCCATTTATTTTTTTAACCTATTATTTTGTACGAGTGACTATTACTATGCGTAAAAGGTCACTGTTATTTGAAACAAAAGATGATAATTCTGTTTTTATGAGGAGTGAATGTTTATCAAAACAATCTTCTTCAAGTTCATCAGTTTTACACAAAAAAGGTCCTGAATCAAACTGCAATAAAATTTCCCTAAATAGTGAGCATGTAACTAAAAGCAAGCAACAACTTTCTTTTAATTCCGACAATAACCTGTTGAGAGTTGAACAAAAAGCTGAAATTGACATAAAAGAATCAGACGTAAATATTTATGATGTATCAAAAAAATTAAAATCTCCAAAATGGGAGAGTTTAAAAATAAAGCAGTCAGCATTTAAATTAGTGATATCGCCTAGTTTTACAAGAATTAGTTCTTTGAATAAAGCAGATCGAGCCACAATTATTGTTTTTTTTATGACGGTTTTGATGTTTATGATAACAACGTTCCCGGAAAGGATATTTTATTTTGTCGCATGTTATTTATTTAGTTTCCGTTTCAATAAAGAACAAATCTTTAAATACGGTCCAGCAATGAAAACAGTAAACGAATGGCTCGGTTTTTTGCTACTCTCTGGATGTCTTTCTGATGTAATTGTTTACAGCGGAAAATACCCTGACTTTCGTCAACAATCATATAGGTGGATTAACTATATTATAACAAAACTAACTTCAAAACTTAACTTTAGAAAGAAAAATAATGAAACTTCTGAATCAACTTTGTAAATAATTTTAACGTATTAATGCAATGGTTACTTGCATATTGTCGCGTGACATGTTCCTTTTTTTTTGAGAAAAAATTGTTAGCCTTTTTTTTCAATTACACTGCATAATACACAACAATAATACTTACAGATAACGCTGATGTCGTATTGATTAAAAAAAAATCAGGTCAAGAATAAAACCATATACCTTGTATGTAGCTACTTATACAAGAACGCTAAATAAGTTTGTTGGGGTCAGTGGATTGTGTGAAGTATCTCTTTAAAAAATTACAAGCTTTAATTGTACTCTGTGATAAAAATATTTGATAATTTAAGACTATATTAAAATTAGGTATATACATATTCTTGTACATAAATATGCTTTATGATGCATATTTATGTAATAGATTGATTAATTTTTTCTTAATACATTTATAGTACATGCATAGGAAATTTCTATCGCGATACATATATTGTGGACCAAAAAATACGACATTTATAGGTATTTTAAATAATAGATTTCCCGTTTCCGCGTCATAAAATTTTTATAAAATATATAAAAATATTTTTTTATAAAACGATATAAAAAACTTGTCTGTTTACTTCTCTTAAGCTCGTACATTATCCTGCACAGTGGCTATTCATAGATAACTTAAAACAGAGTCTCAAAGATGGATTTTTATTTCCATTGCTTCACAATGGAAATAAACATCCAGCTCTGTCTTAATCTTTAGGAAAGAGTTTATTTCTAACTATCTTTCAATATATGAAAAAGTGAAATGTAATTATCTTAAGGATATTAGAATAGATTGACGCAACATTCTGACTTAAATTTTTTTGATGCAACATTCTGAAATTTTTTCGCATAAATCAAGAAAACAATAAATAAACATAAAAAGCTACGAGTATTACGTCAAAACGAATGTGATTTTTAAATTCTGTTGCAAAAAATACTTAAATAAACTATCAAATTCTACTATTATTAACATACTAATAAATAAACTATTTTTAACATACTTTCAGCAATAATTTTTTTCCTATTTTTAATAACTTCGATATAGTATCAAAACATATAAGTGTTTCTAATGTATGTAAATAAAAGTAATTTGTGTGCTTGTTTTTTTAATCAGTCAAGGCAATGAGCTTTTAATGGATTTTTTATTAATCTATGAGGTCTTAGAAGAGGCATCTGCCCATGTACATCTTATTGCAATAATTATTTTTGCACTGACTATTGTTGTACTGACTATTGTTGTACTGACTATTGTTGTACTGACTATTGTTGCACTGACTATTGTTGCACTGACTATTGTTGCACTGACTATTGTTGTACTGACTATTGTTGCACTGACTATTGTTGTACTGACTATTGTTGTACTGACTATTGTTGCACTGACTATTGTTGCACTGACTATTGTTGCACTGACTATTGTTGCACTGACTATTGTTGTACTGACTATTGTTGCACTGACTATTGTTGTACTGACTATTGTTGTACTGACTATTGTTGCACTGACTATTGTTGCACTGACTATTGTTGCACTGACTATTGTTGTACTGACTATTGTTGCACTGACTATTGTTGCACTGACTATTGTTGCACTGACTATTGTTGCACTGACTATTGTTGTACTGACTATTGTTGCACTGACTATTGTTGCACTGACTATTGTTGCACTGACTATTGTTGTACTGACTATTGTTGCACTGACTATTGTTGTACTGACTATTGTTGTACTGACTATTGTTGCACTGACTATTGTTGCACTGACTATTGTTGCACTGACTATTGTTGTACTGACTATTGTTGTACTGACTATTGTTGCACTGACTATTGTTGCACTGACTATTGTTGCACTGACTATTGTTGTACTGACTATTGTTGCACTGACTATTGTTGTACTGACTATTGTTGTACTGACTATTGTTGCACTGACTATTGTTGCACTGACTATTGTTGCACTGACTATTGTTGTACTGACTATTGTTGTACTGACTATTGTTGTACTGACTATTGTTGTACTGACTATTGTTGCACTGACTATTGTTGTACTGACTATTGTTGCACTGACTATTGTTGTACTGACTATTGTTGTACTGACTATTGTTGCACTGACTATTGTTGCACTGACTATTGTTGCACTGACTATTGTTGTACTGACTATTGTTGCACTGACTATTGTTGCACTGACTATTGTTGCACTGACTATTGTTGCACTGACTATTGTTGTACTGACTATTGTTGCACTGACTATTGTTGCACTGACTATTGTTGCACTGACTATTGTTGTACTGACTATTGTTGTACTGACTATTGTTGTACTGACTATTGTTGTACTGACTATTGTTGCACTGACTATTGTTGTACTGACTATTGTTGCACTGACTATTGTTGTACTGACTATTGTTGTACTGACTATTGTTGCACTGACTATTGTTGCACTGACTATTGTTGCACTGACTATTGTTGTACTGACTATTGTTGCACTGACTATTGTTGCACTGACTATTGTTGCACTGACTATTGTTGCACTGACTATTGTTGTACTGACTATTGTTGCACTGACTATTGTTGCACTGACTATTGTTGCACTGACTATTGTTGTACTGACTATTGTTGCACTGACTATTGTTGTACTGACTATTGTTGTACTGACTATTGTTGCACTGACTATTGTTGCACTGACTATTGTTGCACTGACTATTGTTGTACTGACTATTGTTGTACTGACTATTGTTGCACTGACTATTGTTGCACTGACTATTGTTGCACTGACTATTGTTGTACTGACTATTGTTGCACTGACTATTGTTGTACTGACTATTGTTGTACTGACTATTGTTGCACTGACTATTGTTGCACTGACTATTGTTGCACTGACTATTGTTGTAAAAGAATTTTTGTAGTATAACTGTGCTTTGGTGTTACATTTTTTGTGATCTGTCGTAATAATTAATGTCTTGGTAATGTCTTTTTTTCTCTTCCAGCATAGGATCTGACAATCTAAAGGCTAATAAACTAAGTGAACCCATGTCTTTAATGAAGAACAAATATACTTTTAATCAGTCAGACTATTAACTATTCAACAAATTAGGCAGCACTTAGTGATTATGTTTTTAATTTAGATTGAAAAACTAATAATGTAAAAAAAAACTATAAAAATTTGTTAAAGCTTATGACTTATTAATTAAAGAACTAAAATTTATCCAGTTTTGTTTACGGATGTTTTGCGTTGCTAAGACCGTTGCTAAGGAAATTTTTTTTATATAAATTACTTTTTGTCAAAATCAAACACAAATTTGCAACTAAATTTATATATGATTAAGCTACTATAAATTGTTTATCAAATTAGCTAAATATCAAAAATTTCATTTTATTTTAGATTTTGAGAAAATATTCGGTGTTGTACCACGTTGGTATCTAAAGTCATATTTTAAATTTTTAGAAAATTTAATAAAAATAGAGCATGGTACCCTAAGCAATAATAGACCAGAAATATGTCATAGTTTTACATATTTGAATATTTTAATAATTATTGATTATTTAATTGGTTAATTAATCAGTATTGGAATTGTGATTTACCTTTTTCAATCAATAATTATTGGAACGGGGGTTTACCTTTTTCTTTTCATCAGTATTGAAATGTAGAATTACCTTTTTCTATCCATCAGTGTTGAAGTTGGGGATTTACTTTTTTCTATCCATCTTTGGAATTAGGACTTACCTTTTTTTATCCATCAGTGTTGAAATTGGGATTTACTATTTTCTATCCATCAATGATGAAATTGAGACTTGCCTTTTTTCATCTATCAGTATTGGAATTGGGGTTCATCTTTTTATCCATCAGTGTTGGAAAAAATTAAATCCCAACTTCCCATCCCAAAGATCTATCTATAAATAACCTAGTGTAGTTATAATTCCTATCAGAATGTTGGATTAACCTATCTGAATCTTTATCAAGGCAGAGAATTCTTGGAAATATCACATTCATAAATGTCTCATATTGAATTTCCTTGAACTATTTTCGACAGCATATCTTTGATATCAACAGTCAAGGCTTCCAAGTACCCGCAATTTACTACACACTTCACTTGAGTCTCAATCATACCAAAGACAAGCTTTTTTTCTATTAAACTCTAGCCACTGCTGCTAAAATTTAAGTTACTTTGAAAAAGTTGACTTATTTAAAACAATCAGTCTTTTTGTTAAAAAAAAAAAAGTAATGATCCGATTGCGTCGGTCAACAATTATTAATTCTTTACACATTTATTTCCTTATTGCAATACTATGAAATAGATTTATTATTTTTTTATTTGTATAACTTTTATCTTATTTTTCTCATTTGTTATATTGGTAACCAACTTTTGTTCCCAAATATACAAATCCGGTCAAGTATAGTTTTTCTGTAAAATTAATTTTTAGAAATAAATATTTTATGATTTTTTTTTTACATATTCCTGTAGAAGCCAAAATTCTATAACCTATTAAAAAAAACTCCCACGGAAAAAAATATTTCCTATAAAAAATAAATTAATTTCAAAATTCGAAATGTTGCACAAGCCCAAACAACTTTTTTTCAAGTTTAGTATTGAAAAAATAAAAGACGGAAAGTTTTAGGCTGTTTCGAAGTATTATTGAAAATATCAAAATTATTATTAACTTTCACTTTAACTTTTGCATTAACTTTCTTTTAAGTAGCTAAATGCTTTCGAAATTTCGCGAAAATAAAATAAATCAAATAATTAATATAAATATAAATAAAAAATTAAAATGAGATTTTAATGAAATTTAAATAATTTAACATCTAACTTATAATTTCAAGAATGTAAATTTTCAACTTATTCACAATAGCGCCAAATTCAAATATTACCAAATTCAAAGTTTCAGTTTTCAACATTTTAAAAAAGTTTCAAACTTCAAAAACGTTGTTAAGGGTAACAACATTTTTTAAATGTTGTTACCCTTAACAACGTTTAAATGTTACCCTTTTAACGTTTTTTAAATGTTGTTACCCTTAACAACTGAAAAGGGTAACAACATTTTTTAACATTTTGTTACTTTAAAATTATGAAGCCATGGCGCAGTGGTTATTGAGCGCTTGCCAGAAAAGCAAGCAATCAGGGTTCAATAGAAGTTATGGATATTTTTTGCGTCAATGGTAAGGAAGGAGGCGTGAAGTTCTCAGTTAAATACTCTTCCGAGGTGTTCTGTGACAAAACCGTTAGGTCTTCTTAGGGCACCTCAAACGAAAAAAAACAAAAATTATATATGTATATATTTTGTTATTAGGTACCCCAAGAAGACCTAACGGTCTTGTCACAGAACACCACGGAAGTGCATTTATTCAGGAAGTTTACGCTTCCTCCCTTACCGTGACGCGAAAATATGTCAAGAGCTCGTTTCGAACCTGAATCTCCCGCTACTAAAACAAGCGCTCTAACCACTGCGCGACGGCAGCATATATAAATACATTGAAATTGTCTTTCTATAATTTTGCTTAGGCTTTTGATAAAGTTCCTCACATTAGACTGCTACAAATGTTGTAATCCTATGGAATTGAAGGTAAAATTTTAAACTGGATTAAAGCGTTTCTTTCAAATCATACTCAACGTGTCCAACTTGGAAATGTAACATCGGAATAGGAAAATGTTACTAACGGTGTTCCTCAAGGCTCAAGTCTTGCTTTTTACTATCTTCATCAATGATTTACTAGAACAAATTAGTAGCAAAAATACATGCAAACTGTATGCAGACGACACAAAAATGTTTAGTGTGGTCAGCACTGAAGAACAAAAACTTTGTCTGTAAGCTGACATTGACAACATAATCAATTGGGTTCAAGAATGGCTTATGGAAATAAATATTAGGAAATGTAAAATAATGCATTTTAACCAATCCAAATCCGTTCCACACCAATACTTTAATAATGACCGTGGCTTAAATAACAGTATCAACAGAATTAACCTCATCAGAAAAATACGTTGGTGTTTTAATTTCCAATGACCTTAAGGAAATTTCCAAACATCTATTGCATAATATTCTTCCCCCTTCTAACTAATTATTCTAATTATAATTAGCATGATGTCGAATAACTGAATATTAATACTATAAAAGTTAAATTACTTGTAGAGGTGAACGGAAATTATCTCTAAAATTAAAGAGATTTTTTTAAAACAATTGTATATAATCCGTAATTAATTTAATTGTAAAAATTGTACACATTTGTTATAAAGAAAAACAAATATTCTAAATATTTCTAAAAATTTCTGAATATGTAAATAAAGATAAAACAATGTGAAATGTTCTGAAGAAAAGAGGAAAACAAGAATATAACACAAAAAACTGAAAAAAACAAAAAACAAAAGCAAAACAAGATAATATATCTATGAGATAAGATGACATGAATTTATAAATCGCAAACATAATTAAAATACAGCATATACAAATATACAAATTCATTTTATTATAGATTATCTTATTTTTAATATATATCAAGTTATCAGACACCAAAGCAACTAGTTTTTAGTTTAAATCTAAAGTATAAAGTGACATATGTTGAAAAAGAGTGTCAAGAAAAACACTAAGTCAAGTTTACTTTTCAAAAGTGTTTATGCGACCGACGAAAATGATTTATTAAGAAGTTGCAGCCGATAGGATTTACTCAACGAAGTCATCCAATATTTTAGAAGAATTTCATCGTCGGATTTGGATTGGAGAATTGCCAATAGTCTAAATTAATCAAAACTAATTAATATAATTTATAAACTCCCAAAAATAATACTATCAGTATCGTAAACATTTATAAAGAAAAAAATTACACATTTAAACAAGTTAATCAGAGTGAAATAATGTAAAATATAAATGAACAATAAAGTACATAAAAAAGTTGTTGAAAATCTACGACGTGGAATTTCAAATTTTAACTAAAATTTTGATTCACAATTTTAACAAAATTTTGAAAAAAATAAATCCAAGAAATTTCTTATATTAATAAACCAGGCAATATAAATTAATTGAGAGTCATATGTGATAAAAGCCTTAAAAGAGCCTTTACTTTTTTTTTTTTTTTTTTTTTTTGTAAAATAAAAGGTAAATGACACAAAAGTTTATTTTTATGAACAATTAATCATATACATAATAAAGTTCCTTAAAAAGAATAGAATTACTAAAGGGGTTATTGGCATAACCTTTACAGATTTTCACAAATTTTTCATAAAATATTTAGCGAGGTCCGAGAAAGTTATAGTTTTAGGAGTAAATAGGAATTTTCAATAAAATTCTAAAAATTGTTCAAAAGTTTACTTTCAAAAGCCAACCCAAGCTCCAATCACCGCAACTCTTTGCAAAACATTCTCATTTGACATATGCATGAACATACAAAAGTTTGGAGTTTGCACTATGCCTGTAAGGGTCAAAACTCAAACATCTAAAAATCCAGTGTACACCACTGTAATGTAACTTAACATAAGATCATAAATTATTGTAATTTTTCGCTTTTCAACATTTTGTATTTGCTTCTGTTAAATTCCATTTACCAATTGTTTGCCCATGTTGTCAAAGCATCAAGATCTATTTGAAGTTGTTTAATGTCATGTTGGTTTTTGGTAACACTTACTAAATTGCTATCACCAGTAAAGAGCTTGAGGGAACACTTAACAGCATCAGGCATGTCATTCAAAAACACTTTGAAAAGTAATGGACTAAGCATAGATCCCTGCGGCACACCACGTCTAACTTTTTGTTATTGGAAGTAAGAATTGTCAACCAGAACTCTTTGCTTTCTGTTCAAAAGAAACATTGTATGCAGTTCAACAGTTTTCCATTAAAACCTTAGGATTTTGCCTTGATAATCAATGCTTCGTGGCAGACTTTATAAAATGCTTTGGCAATGTCATATTATAATTGGCAAATTTTAGACAAATATATTACAATTGTATAAAATTTATGGTTAAGTGCCTCTGATGCAAGTTTTCTCTATGTTTCTCTCCGTGATTTTACATATATAGGTTTTTAAAGAGTTTATTTTGATAGTTTATTTCTTTTTATATTAGTGTCGCATCAGCTTCCTTCCAAGTGCCAGGTATTATACCTGTTTTGGATGATGATATTATTAGAAAAAAATGGGAATGTTAATCCCTTGGAAAAGTGGTTAAAAACATACCGGCTTATATCATCTGGGCCAATTGCTTTGTGCTTCTTCAACAGTTTCAGTTCAGTAAGTATGACTTTATTAAGAGCATCTTGATTGATTCTGTATATGTTGTCAGATCTGATTAGAAATGTAAACTTGGCAGCTCATTCAATTTTAGAAAATGAAGAGTCAAACTGTTTATCAAGGCATTCTACTTTGTCAAGTATTTTATATCTATGCCATTTATTTTCAAAGTAAAACTAGAAACTTTTTTTTGGCTGTTGATGTATTGCTATATTAATAATTTTTTTTTTTAAATGATACAAGTTTTGATTCATAACTTTTACGAGCAGTAATAAAATTTTTTTTTACATGTTGTAAATATAAATAATAGATAAATAAAAGATACAATAGGTTAATAGATGAACAAGAAAAAAAAAGTAAACCCGGCCAACATTTTGGATTCATTTATTTTTGGTTAGAAATTAATGTGCTGCAAACCATTGTAGTTTTGTTTTTTGTTTATAAGCTAATGTGATTCTGCTAGGTAAGAATTTGATTAATCTTTTTTTGTAACAAAGGCCAATTAGTTTGTTTATTAAAAAAGAACTAATTTTGCACTCTTTAAATTGTTTCCACCACTCCACTTCTGCAAAAAGGTTTAGTTTTTTTTTTGTGCTGTCACCAACACTTTCCATAATATGACATTAATGCTTTCCATATTATGTCACCAATGCTTTCTGTAGTATATAAGTGTAATTGAAATCACCAACTAATTAGAGCTGCATACCATTAACCTTAGCTGTATTCGAAGCAGAATTAGGCTAAAGTTAATTGTTTTACTTAGTTCTTTATTTGCAGACAGCTCTCTGTAAATAAACCTGACAAGGAATTTTTTACTTATGTATATTAGTATACACACCTGACCTGGTAGTTTGCTACAAAGTTCAAGGCATCAAAATAGGATGCGTGGATGTTTTTTCTAATATAAAATGCAACTCTATTATATGAGTCTGGTGTGTTGTTGCTAAAAAGATTATAACCAGGTAATATAAACTAGAAAAGTTATTGAACCAAATTTCTGCAATTGCTTCTAATAGCAAATTTAATGTTGTTACTATAGCAGCAAGAGCCTCTGATTTATTACATAGTGATGATGCATTAATGTAGAAGCAGGTGATTTCATTTAGTTCTCCATTATTTATATTTCTGATCATTTGATTGTTTTTTTTCTGAACATACTGGCTCACTTTGGGATTTATGTGATACTTATATATAATTATGGTTCCGAAAAAATTAGCTAGTTTGGACTTGAGGTAATTTTGGGAAATCACTTCAAAGTTTTCGACTATTTGTCTGTTTTCTGAAAAAAATATTACCTTTTTTTTTTTGTAAGATTTTTTTATATTTGAGAGTGCTCACAGAGAGTTCTGATTTAATTTAGGTTCGTTAAATGGAAGCTAGAATTTTTATCTCACGTTTTTATGTCCTGCGTATAATTTACCTAATTTTTTGTATTTATTACTGCAATACAAAAACTTTTTATTTTTCTCATATTGGAAGAAACAACAAACTGTATTTTAAAGAAATGTTTGTCATTTTCAATATATATTAGTAACATAAAAGATGATAAAATTACTATGAAGAAAGTATGCAATGGTTGCATTTCTCTTAATTTCCATTCTGCTCTGGTTTGTAACCAGCATACAATTATGCCTTCACCCTTCCATAAACTTTTTTTAAAGCTTCAGATGAAAGTTTTTCAGTTCTTTTCACCGATTGTGAGTGGTTGGGCAGATCAGTGAGAGAATTTTTTCTAGGAGTTTGAATTTTTTGTTGACTTTACATGCCCAAACCACCTTTAATCTTCCCTGATGCACCTAACCAAATATACTCACAAGGCCTAATCTTTTTCTTAAATTATCACTGCTTTTATTGTCTTTTTGCACTCATTTATATTGATCTTAAGCTCTTTTGCTACATCTTTCCAAGTCTCAAACCTTAATACTAATTCTTCTTCTATTTCAGTAATCTCTGAGTTTGCTAACTTTTATAAGCTTTAACTATTAAAAGCTTATACTTATACTCCTTAACTCTTCGCTTAATTAAAAAATGTAAATAACTACTTATATGATTTAAATTTTTAAATTTATATGGTATATTATAAGGTATGCAGACTAAGCGATGATGGGAGGCCTGAGCTAGTGTGGGGACCTAAGCTAGTGGGTGTCTCCAAAAGGGCTAATCATGTTATGTAATTTCTTAAACATTGTTTGATAATACTTGTATTAGATTTTCAAAATAAAAAAGATAAACAGAAAGCGACTTTGGGTCTTCACTTAGGACTTCCAGACTCTTAAGTTTAGGGTCTTAAACATAAAGGGGCCTCCACTTGTCATGATTCGCCACTGATTGCATTAATAATATAGTTAAATGTAATTATTTGTTATATATTCAATTAAAAACATGAGTATGTAATTTAGTACAAAACAGCTGTTCTGTAAAATAAAATTTTATCAAGATAACTAGTAAACTAATTCATTTTTAAATCAATATTTTATACAAATCCAAATAAAAACTAATTAATTTACATATTAACTTGGTAAATAGTTTTTTATTCACAGTATAGCTTTGTAGTTTTTTTGTAAATTGCTTTATTAATAACTGTTTACCATTTGAAAAGTACAGCTTTGTTTGCAAACATTAGGAGAATTTACTCTTTTTTTTCTTTTATATTTCCCAAAATCCTTTTGGGAAATATAAAAGAAAATTTGCCCCTTTTTCTTTTATATTTCTCAAAAGGATTTCAGTTTTTTTTTGCTTATTTTTTTGTGGAAAATAATTTCTTTATATAGATTACATGAATTTCATGCGAAGCCAAGAGCTATCTGATACATGATAGTGGCTTATTGTGCAACACACATTAAATTATTCTTTAATTGTTAGCAATTCTGAATCCTGACTTGTTGAGTCTCTTCTTGTGGTGGTTATAGAAATGGTTGAAGAGTTTGTTGCATAAAACAGCATGTGTCAGCTAGCTTTATTGATGTAATTTTTAGAAATCTGATTCTTACAAATAGATTTTTTTTTGTAATTTACTTTACAGCATCTACCCCATGCTGTCCTGGTACTTCATGTTAGTGTTTAACTTGCTTATTCTTTTTCTCTTCTTTTTCTCTGCTGCTCGCTAAACTCTAGTTTTATCAGGATTTACGTTTTTGAATTTTTTAATTTTTTCTCAGCTTGCGTACATTGACTAGGGCTAATTTGATTCTTTATCTCATAGTTCAACTATGCTCGTTTATGTTGCACTTCTTTCTAAACCAGACTCAAGATGATTTTGGTTTTAAAGCTTTATTTACTTATAGAATAGTTAGAATTTCTTTTACTTATTGATCATCTTTACTTTTTATTTCATCTGCAGAACCCTGATATTTTTTTCAATGAGTTTGGTTTCATCCAGCTTTTGTCTCAACTTAGTGATTATAATTATCTCTTCTTTGGTTTTTATACAAATAAATTAATGAGGGAAATGTGGCTAACGGTTGTATAGTTGGAGAGCTGGAATTGTAGTATTGATAATTAAATAGTTATTAGTAATGATAATTAAATGGTTATCAATTTTCTTATTTCTATTGTTTTTTTTCTTATTTATTATAGTTGTTATTTGGTAAAGTTTTTTTACTACTATCAAGTTGGGACTCACTTAAAAACAAAGAGTTAAAGAGCAAAAAAACGGTTGACAGAAGACTTTAAAAGTTGTAGATTGTATGATTCAAGAAAATACAAAGATGGGAGGAAGTGCGGCAAGAAAAACTAGACAAATAAAAGTTTTTAGAGCATGAAGAGACATATACAGTAAAAGAATAAAACTTTGCTGAATAACGAGTCAGAATGAGTTTTGGTTGATGGAGCTAGAAATGATAGCTCTTTTAAGTAGAGATGTGTCAGGTACCAGGCAACAATTTTTGTTATGCTGCGTACCTGGTAATTTTTGGAGTTGCTAGCTAATTTTTGGAGGTGTCTGGCTACCCCTGAAGGAGCTAGGTAAATTTTTCAAATGTCTGAGAATCCTGGAAGTTGATGGTTACCCTGTAATTTATGTATGTTTACTGGGTACCTGGTAATTTGAAATTACCTGGTACCTGGTACACTGCAGGGTTTTCCAGATAACAGGGCTAAGGTTAAAACCTTGAAGTACCCCTGACATTGCTGGAAATGAAAAAGAGAGTTGACCTTTGAGGATGACTTTATAACTGCGGTTAGAAAAAAATGATTTGATAATACCAAAAATATTTCAAGATACACCATAAGAAGCAAGCTTGCAGGGAATAACAGTATGCCAAACTGTATGAAAAGCTCTAGATATATCAGTAGCCCTAGTCTTGCTGCCTCTTTCTTATGCACAATAAAATCTTCCAGTCACAGCAGTTAGAAAGTCAACCATAGAACAAGAAGATTGAAAAACATATTAATTGTCAGAAAGTAAATTATTATAGGATAATCATGATAAGGTGATTGAAAAAAACTTCATTATGAGAGCTAACAACCTGAAAAAAAGTGGATTATCTCCAGGATAATAATAATTATATTTAATATTAATCAGTATGTGTTTTTTTCCTTATTCGAAGTAGTTTATAAATCTTGGGATGGTTCAATCAAGCAACAAAAATCAAGTTTTGTGTCAAATTTTTCTCAAGGCTTATTATGGAATATTACTTTGAATTACTCTTCTCTCAAAACAAATTAAAGTCATAAATGAAGACCTCTCAACAAATATTAAGATTATAAATCAAGATAAAAAAAATTAATTTTGATAATTTTAATTGTTACATTACAAAATAATAAACTTTTACAATAACTAAAAAAAAAAACAATTTTACCATAATTAAAAAAAACTAACTAATATAAACAAGGCAGTGAAAAAGTAAATGCAAGATTATGTATAGGATATTTCTAACTTGAACCATTTGTCGTAATGTGCTAAGTATCTTAAGATAACAAAATATAAAACAACTTACCTGTCTTTTTCTTCTATCAACTTCTTCGAGTCTTTAGAAAACTTGAACAATATTTTTACTCTTCTAAAAATAAAATGATTTCATAACAAAGTAATAAAATCAAAACATAACTAAAAAAAATATAAACACCAACCCCATCCATCTTTCTTTTAAAGCAACTAACATAACCATAAACAGTTCGTCATTAATGTGTTCATTGCTTAGCGACTCCATAATAGAAGTTAAATAACTTGGCTCTAAAAAAAATAATTGTTAAACTAATTTAAATATTCAATTTACTGTTGTAGTGTTACTATTGATTGATAAGCAAATTATTGATGAGTAAACCACTATTATTTGGAAACTCAAAGATGGGTGCAAAGATTACTATTACTTAGCATAAGTAATAGTAATTTCTATATGATTTATTACTCTAGACAAGAATTGAAAAATGCAACCCAACATTTACTATCATCAAAATCACCTCATTTTCATCACTTCATTATTTCAAACTTTTGCTTTAATTAATTCATTATTTTCTTTTACTGTCAAAAAAAAATGTGTATGAGTTGAGTATATGAAGGTGTTGTGGGTAATAAAACATATGAAGGTGTTGTGGGTAATAAAACATATGAAGGTGTTGTGGGTAATATCTTCAATATTTGTTTAAACCAGGATCTGTATTTCAAACTTAAAAAATTAGACATGTCATACAAAATAAAACAAAGCAAAATATAAAACCACCTTTTTCAACTGGTGCACCTGTCACATGGATTTGAAAACCATCAAATGAATTTTCACATAATCTGAAACTTTAAAAAAAAAAAAAGTAAAAAAATTAGCAAAAAACAAAATACCTAGATTATTAAAAAAAAAAAAAATTAGGAATATAAAAAGCAGTAAAAAGCAAAAATCTCAGTTGTAATTTCCTAGATACTAAACAAGATAGTGGTGCCTTGAAGTCAGTTTAAAATATAAAATTTGTCTAAAAAAATAAAACAAACAAACATTTTTATATGCAAATTCATAAACAATAGAGAATACTGATGAATGAATACTTACTAACATAATTAGAAACAAATACAGATACGATTACAAATGAATACTGACATGATTACAAATGAATACTAAATAACAAAATATAAAAATAAAGTAAAAAGAAATAATAAAAAAACTTATATTCAATCACATGATTACAATTAAATAATCAGCTAAATAATAAAATCATGACATATCACGTAAATGATTTTAATGAAAGTTTATTACTTAGACAGATAACAAGTTTTCAACATTTGTCTTTCTTCAACATTTGTGATTCTTTTTTTTTTTTTTTTGTCAACGCAACAAAATTGATTTTGAATATTTTAGTCTTTTATTTAAACTTGTAAAAATAGATTATTGAAATTTGTAATAATTTATCATTTGTTAAACAAATACTTTTATATAAAATATTCGTTAAATAAATAGTAATCTTTTTTGAAACTCTTATTTATTATTGGTTGAGCAAATAGTACTATTTGCTAAACAAATAGTACTATTCATTTAACGAGTTTAATTTGATAAAATAGTTATGAAAATTGTTTTATTAAGTAATTATAATTGATAAAAAGTAAAGCAAGTAAAAACTGTTTGTTTTTCTAGTAACCAATAAAAACTTACTGAGAAGCTGAAGCAGTTTCATCTTTCTAATGAAAAAATTTAAAAATTTTTATATAAAATAATAATTAAACCAAACAAATAACAAAAAAAAATTAGCACGACATAAGTTTAAATATTAAATCTTTTTATAATAAATGAATAAGTAAAGTCTTGTTTACTTATTTATTATAAAAACAAGTCAGCCCTTTAAGCTTTACTCTGAGAGACTTGCATCCTGAGAGACAATTTACATTTTATTAAAAATTTTTGTAAAGTTAATTAAATTAGTTAATAAACCTTTTCTCTAGTTATTGCGACAACCACAATTTGATTAGAAGATAGCAGATGTTGAGGAATTTCGCAACATTCTTTAAGTCCTAGAAAATTACAACGCCAAGAGTCCTAAAAAAAATCATCATTTGGATGATCATTACAATTAATATTCTTGTTCAGTCCAAACATCACAATACAAAACTTTTGTACTAATATTATAAACCCTTACTTTTTTGATTTTACTCTTTTTAAAACATAACTCCACCTACCAATTTTTAAAATAAACAAATGTTTATTTTAAAAAATGTTTAAATAAAAACAAACCTGATACTCTTCTTCGTAAACTTGACAACGAAAACATCCAGCAGGTATCAAATCCTATAAATTTTTTAATTTTTAAATAAAGGCAACATTATTTATGGTGTATAAATAATTAATGGTATAAATTCATTTATACACAAGATGTATAAACCTTTTAACAAATAAAGTTATTTTAAATAAAATTTTAAATTCTTTAAATGTAACACAGTGTGCTAAATAAACACATAAATTCACACATATTTAACTTTATAGTCAAATTTAGGTCTTCTCAAACATATTTGGGGCACAAAAATTGAGGCTTTATTGTACCATTTTGTTATTGAAAAACTTTTGTTTTGTTAAAAAAAATTTGTGTTCTTAAAAAGTTTGTTAAACAATTTTAAATATTCGTTTTATTTTTTAATAAAAATTAAAGTTAGTAACAATAAAAATGTGTATTGAAAATTTTACCAAAGTTTTATTATGCTGTACCACTTAAAGAAAAATCAATAGCATTTTTTTATCAATAATAAAATTTTCAATATGTAAACTCCACAATATGTAAACTCCACAATAAAAATATGAAATTTAGGCAAAAAAAAAATTAACCTAACTCTTGAAAAGACCATCAATGATGAAACAGTTAAAAAATTCAATTTGATTCTGAAGAGAAAACAACTTTTTTTAAGGCTTACACAGGTAAAAATAAATAGTATTTTAAAGATGCAAAAAAAATTTAGACTTATTTCCCTCATATTTGTCCTAATATAGCCTTAAACTGATGGCTTTCTCATGGATAATGATTGTAAAAGTTTAAAAACATATATTTCAAAAATATATATTTTAATTTGTAAATCCAGGAAAACTAAAAGTTAAAAGAAATATCCAAAATTCTGGATATATCCGGAAAAATTCCTGATATATATGAATCATAATACACGATGCACTATATTAAAACATGTATGTACATAACATACATTTAATAAAGTTATATTTTATACAACACAGTATTAAAAAATTACAAAATAAACAAACTTTTAAAACTTTTATCAAAGATACAGCAGTTCGTTTAAAGTCAGATTGTACAACAACTTGGTCACCTCGAACAACATGAAAAGCTAGAAGATGGAAATTATCTTTACCAATCACCTATCCAAATTATAAATTAATTTACATTTATATATTTTAATGATTTTAGCCATATATATATATATATATATATATATATATATATATATATATATATATATATATATATATATATATATATATATATATATATATATATATATATATATATATATATATATATATATATATATCAGGCCTTAGCGAGAAGCAAGAGCTTTAGCTCTCGCTTTTGCCCACACTCCCCTGAAACGGTTTACGAGAGCTATTTACGGCTCTCACATAAGTATAAATTTTCTCATAAAAGTATAATTATCATTTTAAATAAAATAAAAAAACAATGTCACTTAGAAAAAATTAATTGCATAATATACTGAAGTGCTTTTTAAAAGGCACACTTGTTGCAAAAAAAAAAAAGAATTAAAAAAGAGTGCCGATTTAAATGAGGAGCAGCTCGCAGAGCTTCCCAAGTTTGTTTTAGCAGAGCTTTTTTTCCGCTCTCTCATTTATTCCCGCCGAGGCCTGTATATATATATATATATATATATATATATATATATATATATATATATATATATATATATATATATATATATATATACATGGAAATGAGGGGAAGGAGGGGTTGGTTGTCACACAGGGTTGGTTGTCGCAAAGTTTATTACAGGAAATGTAGATAAGGTTTAGAACTCTAAAATCACACAATGGAAATGTTATATTAAAAAAAATATTTTTACTGTAATTATCAGCTTTTTTTAGCGTGTAGAAAAAAAGTTATTCATTTTTATTGAATTTTGATATGAAAAAGTTAAATTTTGCTCACTTTGAAATTTTCTTTTACTAAACGAAAATTATTTTATTGTGCTTTGAATGTACATTTTAAAATTTTTTTATTTATTTGAGTAACTTAATCCACAAAAAATTCTCATAAAACTCACACATTTTTAGGTAAATTTACAAGTGTCTTGCAACTTATATAGAAGGGGTTGCTTGTCACAAAATATATGGGAATGGTTGTCACAATTGCCTTGACTCCGTGCGCTGCAAACTAAATGCCGCTTTTAGATATTTATAAAAATAATTATAAAATAATTATTAAAATAATTTATAAAAACAACATTTTTAAAAACACTTATATAGTCCTAAACTAAATGTGTTTATAGAGTTATATTAAAATTTTTTTTTTTTCGGTATATAGTATTTTTTTTTTCTTCAGATTGTTCAGATTTGAAACAAAATTTATTGGTACTAATTTTAAATATAATAAAAACATACCAAGAAATGTGACAACCAGCCCCATTGTATGTCACAACCAAACGGGTGGGTGGGGTTGGTTGTCACACAGAAGAGGTCTTTGATAAATGATTTTACATGTCATAAAAATATTGTAATAGATACCGGAAATAGTTAAAATACATTTGTGCAAAATTGATTTTGATGAAAAATAAAAGCTAAGCAGTCTAAAATGTAAAAAGTGTGAGAACTAACCCCACTCTCCCCTATAGATATATATATATATATACATGTATGTATATAAACTCATATACAAATACACACACACACACATATATTTATATAGATAAGTGTAATATATATATTGATACATATGAAAAGAAAATTAGAAAAAAACTTACTTGATACGCATGAAGAATTGAAGTAAAAATAGGATGATTATAGTCTAATAATAATATTAGAATGAATAAAAACTAATAATGATATATAAAATAATGAAATAACAAAAAATCATTTAAAATTAATAAAGGTTTTTTTTAAACATTTTAAATTAAAATTAAAAATTAACAATATAAAATCAAAGTAAAACATTTAAAACAAATTAAAATATCAAATACCTTGACAACCTTTCAATATAAAATCTAAACAAACAAAAAAACAAAACAAAAAAAGTAATGAAATTATAAACATTAATAAATACTTATGAGCTATACCAAAAAATAACTCAAAAATAAAAAAATATCTTGCATTTGATAAAATATGATATTTTTTTATTTAAATTTTAACTAGGGATGGCAATCCCGAGATCCTGAAATCCCAGGATTTCGAACAAACTGTTCATCCCGAAATCCCAGGATTAGTCTCCGAAATTTAAGCTCATAATTGTAGTTTAGTAATTTTTATATCAGTTTGTAAAATATGATACCAAATCTTTTGCTAAAACTTTCATGAAAATTTGGACCATCAAAAGTGTAAAGTTAGCAAGATAGCTCTTAATCAAAAAATTAGTCCCAGAAGAGTTTATTATTAACTTTAAAACATAAAAGTCATCAGAGGAGTTTATTATAGGTTCTTAACTTTAAAATATGAAAGTCATTAGAGGAGTTTATTACAGGTTCTTAACTTTAAAATTTAAAAATAACCTTACACAATTAGTGGGAGAAAACTCTTGGTTTATATATATTTTTTAACCTCTCTAAACTGAATAATTAACTTTAATTGATCATTTTCTGGCTCAAGATTTTCTTCAAATTTGTTGCAAACCTTGCAAATAATAAAACTAATTAATAATTTTATGCATTTTTTTTTCTTTTTTACTAAAATATTATTACAGAAGTACACCAAAAATCATTTAAAACTGTCAGCTGAAGAAGTTTTTTATTTACTGTAGCAACCATTGCAGTAAGTTTACTAAGTATCTTTATTTTAAAAAGAACAATAGTAAATAAAAAGTTATCATTAGCTATTAAAGTTAGTGTCCAGGGCAGGTACCCCCAAGGATGAAAATAGTTTTTTTAAAGGGATTTATAAATCATCATTTAAAGCTATTATAAAAAATATTGCAAGTTACAACTTGTTCTGTAACTGAAATAAATTTATTAGGATATCCAGTTTTTCCTACACCACTGACAGTGAAGAACCCAGATTTTATTTGGGGATACTGCTTTTTTCCCGCAACATTGGGGAATGGGGAGGAAGGAAAGGATGGTTACGTTTGTAAGTCCTCCCCCCATCTTCTCCCATAGTTAAAACCCGCAACAATAATTTTTAGTCATAATTTTTTCAATCATTTCAATCATTTGTGTTTATCTTGTTTAGTTTTATCATAAGATAAGGAGTTGATTTAAAAGCATTTTTTTCAATAGATGAACCTAATGCGGTAGTGGTGTAGTGGTAGAGCGCTCGCTTCATAAACGAGTGGTTCCGAGTTCGATTCCCACCACGTCCCTGGTAGTACCGCGCTCAACTCGTTTCTCCGCGCAGCGGCCTTGTTCGTCAAGGTTCGTGTTTCGGAGTTATAGAGTTGAGAGAGGGTTATAGCCACAAAATAAGTAGCCTCCTCGTCTGTAGTGGCCTTCTCAGCCTTGAGGAGGTGAAGTAAAATAAAAAAAAAAAAATTTACTGGTGGATGTTACTTTAGTTACAATAAGAAAACTATTTTAATCAAGACTTAAAACTTTTGTTGAAAATACCACGCAGCAAATAATTATTGAAAATTGTTCAAAGTATTTTAAACATTTATTAACTATATTTTAGTAAATTCAATTTAAATAGTTTTAATTTTTTAAATAAATAAAAAACATAAGCATTTAATAAACATATTTAATATTATTTTTACTTTAAAATTTTGATTTAAATATTAGCAAATCCACTCATTTAACTTTTACTAAAGGGAAACCCGGACTGTTGAACAATACGAGTTCAAATCCCGCTACCGCCAACTCAACGCTTGAGTAGTACTTTGGTATGCAAAAATGTTGGTCAATAACGGACGCTACTTTGGATTAGTCTTAATGACTATTTGTGGCTGTTCCTATGCTAAGCCAACAATATCTTCGGATATAAAAACATTGTATAGAAAAATATAGCATGAAAACTCAAATAAATAAAAAAATAAATAAATAAATAAAAATAAAAAATAAAAATAATAATTTTTAATGTGATTTTAAGGGGCCTTTTAAAAAATTTAAAAATTGTATTTTTTTGATTAAAAAACATATTATATTTTAAAAAACAGAGTAAAACCGGGTCAAACTGCACAATTATCAATAAAAATTAAAAAACTTTTTTATTTTTTATTTTATTTTTTTCATTTTTTTTTTTATTAGATAGGTAACAAAAAACTACATAAGATAACATAAATATATGTTAAAAAAAAAAAAAAAATTATCGAAAATATTAAATGTAAAGCAAAAAAAAGTTGTGTGGTTTTAGGCAACATTCTAATAACCGCACACTTGAGAAAACATTGAATTTTTTAAATTAAAATTTTTTTTAATTTTTTTAACTAAACTAATATTTAAGAAACTATATTAAAGTTTTTACATTTTTTGCAACAAAAAAATATAGTTCCAACTACGTATTTTTTTGGTAAACATGTTTCTTTTGCATAACCGTTTCCAACACATTAAATTCTTGAATTGCAACATTTCTGTATAACTGTACTCTACACTTTTTACATTTTCAACTTTTAATCGTTTGACTGCTGGTACTTGTTCTTCATTATTGTTTTGCTGAAGTTGCTCAGCATTGTTATGTTCAGGCATTTGAGTGCTTGGCATTAGAGTCTACACTTTGCGTTAAGTTTAGCAACTTTCACAGCTTCCTTTGTTGCTTTTTCTTCATCTTTTTGTTTGAAGAACTTGATCACATTTTCTTTGGTAATACATTTTCTGCCAAGTTTTGACATGTTGTGCTGCTTCGATTTCTTAACATGCGATTGATTTTAGGCTTGAAAAAACTGCTTTAACGATATCTCTATCTATCTATCTATCTATCTATCTAACTATCTCGATACTTTTTTTGCAACGCTCAACACATGCTTGATACCTATCAAAACTTAAAGCTGGTGTAATTGAGAAAGATGATAATGGGTGTGTAATTGGAGTAAGTGCTGCGGTGGCTGTTGAAGATGATGAAGCTGTGTCTAAGCAAGATGGTGTAGGTGCTGCAGAGGCTGCTAAAGTTGATGAAGGTAGATTAAACATTTGTGTGATTGCTAATGCCTTATGATTTATGTTTTTTATTAAGTGAAAATAAGCCAGTGTACTGGAACCAGCGTTTGCATGCAATGTGTGTAAAACATTTACCACTCGTACAGTGATTTGAGCAGAAAATTTTGTTTACCTTCTTATATATCATACTCTTACATTTTGAGTCTTTGTAATACTTTGTAAGAATTTCTTTTCATGCTTGTTTGACATGACAACAGACGCCTCTATCCAATGGTTGTAGAATATGTGAAGAATGCTCTGGTAGACAAATCAAGATTATACTGTGTTTTTTGCACAGCAATACCACTTCCAAAGTTATGTGAGTTGTATACCCATCTAATACTAAAATATAAATACAACCAAATTGCTCAGTTTCAGGTATAAATAGTTCTTTCAGCCATTCAATAAACATATCGTGCTCCATCCAACCTGATTTTGAAATTGAATATTTGGTGCCAACTGGACCACCTCTTGCCCAGTCAGGACGAAAGTTTCTTTTGGCTTTGTATATCACAAATGGTGGTGCAAAATACCCATCAGCAATGCAGCAAATGTTTACAGTATAATGAACTTTTTCATTGTTGCCTTCAGGGTTTGTTTTTCATTGTTGCCTTCAGGGTTGTTTTTCATTGTTGATTGTTAAGTTAAAATGCATGTCTTGTCCCTTTTTGACACACTACGGTTGCTTTGCCTTGATCATCCAAAAAACCTGTTTCAAAACAATTCCAAATATGCGACCCAGAAGTTATACCAGCGGTATAACTTAGGGCTCAAGTGGGCAACTTTATGGGGCCCAAATGAGTTGCCCACATCCCGCCCAAGGAAAACTGTCGCTGGGCGTGAATTGGGGCCCAAGAAGGCAGCCCATATGGGCTGCATAATTGAGACCTACATGGGTCCCACTTTTTTATTTATTTAAATTTTTTATAATATTTTGAATAATTACTTATTTCTTTTTAAACTAGATACATATAATTTAATATTTAGTCATATATATGTCACGTAAGTCTAGCTTTATAGAAGTAAAACAGGAAATCAAACATAGAAAGAATAAGGTAAATAATAATAAACATTTATAAATATACCACAGCATTTAAATAATAAAATAGTAAAAGTAATAGTCTTATATAAATAAGTTAATTTAAACTTTTTTTTAAATTAGTTTAATCAAAACTTTATAATAAAAGACCTCTTCAAGGCGTGTCATTTTATATACATTTTTGCTTGTGGGTTTATAAAAATTCAAATAGTGTATACACTTTCAAAAACCTTTTTTACATAAAAAAAAAATAATTTTTAAATACAATTTAAAACTCTTTTACTACCACTAATACATGACATTGATAGCATTATTATGGAGTCTGACCTTAAAAAAATGATTTGACTTTAAATAAAAAGAAGATTTTTCGAAAAAGAGTTATTATGAATTTAGTTTAAAATTTGAGAAAAGCTTTGAGACGTAATTACATTTGAGAAATGTAAAGGGGTTTTCATAAAGTAAGTTCGGTATTGTGATTTATACTCCTCCAGCTAATTGCCTAGCGGAGTACCTCATACCGTCGCGCGCAAGATCGGATGGCATTTAAATTTAGAAAATAAGATAGAATTTAACGCTTTTTTAACTTCATATATGGGCCCTAAATAGGCCTCAGATGGGCTAGCCCTTGAATACAAAATTTTAACTTTTTTAACTACATATATTGACCCAAAATGGGCCCCATGTGGACTAGCCCTTGAATACAAAAATTTGTATTCGAGGGCTAGCCCACATGGGGTCCATTTTGGGCCCATACATAAAACCCACATAGGGCCCACTTAGACAAAACCCATATAGGCCCCAATAGGACATGTTTGCTGAGAGTCTGTTGATATTGCTTGGTGACGCATTCAAAATAATAATCAATTATTTCTGGTGTACAAGAAGCGGCTCTTTTAGATGCTAAGTTATCCCCTTTTTCTTGTTGAGATTTCTTTTAACCATCTTTTCATAAAGACATAAAACTAGTCTTTACTAGGTTTGCCATTTTTGAATAAGTGTAATTGATCTTCATGTTTAAGGTAGCCACATACAAATTCAAGGATTTCATTTCGGTTTAAACCATAACCCCAGTCACCAAGTAATTGGAACGCATGTCTGTTTCCTTTGAGAGTATGTTGTTGTACCTGAGCCATGAAAGCATTTGTTGTTGTTATTTGGAATTCGCTTTGTTGTTGTTAGTTGGAATTCGCTTCCTTCATCTTGCTTTCCTGATTCATATAATTTGCAATATTTTAAGTCGTCTGTCAATCGTTATCTTGCTCTACAATCTTCATCTTTTCTCTTCCAGTAGCTTCCAACACTAATAAGTGGTTGCTTGCAACCTTGTTGGAAGCGAAGATAATTAAAAAAAAAAAAAAGAAAAAAAAAAAATTTTGCGATCTTTGAGTGTTGAGACTGGAACGCCATGTTTGAATGCAGCTTTTCTCAGTGATGTTTTATTTTCTTTCATATCAATTAATGCAGCTAGCATATTGTCTTCCTTGTATGCTTTTGTTTTTTTAGTTGACATGTTAAAGTGAGTGAGTTAAATTGAATTGAGTGAGTGATGATTATATTGAGAAATAATATAATAATTGGTTTTTAATGATTATATTAACAAATAACATTATAGTTCATTTTTAATTAAACCTGAATTAACACTAAGTTAATTAGATAAAGATAGGGGTTTAGTCACTTGTGAAAAACTAAACTAGGTAATTAATCAAGTGTGCAGTTTTATCAAAAAAGAGTTTTTTACTTTTTTAATTTTTCATTTAACTTTTTGTTCTAGCTGCATAAAAATTATACTATCAGAATTAAAATTAAATTTCCAACAAGATAGCGCTAAAATTATTTTTATAACAGTCGAGGAGGCTACTCATTTTTTGTTGTTGTTGTAAATCGTGGTACAACCCTCTCTCAACTCTTTAACTCCAAAACACAAACCTTGACAAGTAAGGCTGCTGCGCGGAGAAATTAAGTTGAGCGCGGTACTTCCAGGGACATGGTGGGAGTTGAACTCCGAACCTCTCGCTTACAAAGCGAGCGCTCTTACCACTACACCACTACCGCTCTATTATATTTTTAAAAACGTATTATATTTTTTTAATCATTAAGTATAATTTAAAAAACTACGTTTAATAAATAAGTTACATTTACTATGGCTTATTTTAAACAGATTTTAATAAAACTTTTATTAAATTATTTTAATCGTTATTTGTATTATTTTAAAAGTCAAAAAGAATATGGAAAAGAAACAAAACTTTCTGAAAAAGTTTACATTTTGTTTTTTCATTTTAATCACATATACTAAAATAGCAAGCTAAAGATCAAAAATTCATTCATTCAAAAATTAAATTTGCGATATAGTTATTAGAGAGTTTAAGCATACACGCGGTATCTCCAGGCGGTGTTAGTACAAACGCTAGCAAGTTTGCTACCACTGCAATTTTAAAAATCGTTAAGCATGAAAAACTTTCAACAAGCGGGTTTTATGTCATTAATTTTCATGACTTATTTTTAAGTTAAAAGTATTTTCAAAAACAATTTCAAAAACAACTCTAAGAACAATTCCAAAAAAAATCTGCTCTATAAACAGTCAAAGCAATCTTACTAAAAAATCTGCATCAAAGTTTACTTTAAATTTAAAGACAACATTTAGAGTTAAAAATGTTAACCTCAAAAATATTAAAGCAAATCATTCAAAACAAAAGTATAAGTTTTAACTTATTATTTCTTTATGTTTTGTTTTTAAGGGGTGGTAGAAAATAAGATTTCTAGTGCACGTTTTAAACGCAGTTTCCCTTAGACTTATTAATTGTTTATGAGAAATTCTTTTGTATTCCTACCACTGTGTTGACATAACACTTGTATGCTTAAACTCTTTAAAAAGACTGAAATTTTTTACTTCTTTTTAATTCATTTTATTTTTCTTTTTAATTTATTTTATTGATTTGAAGAATAAGCTGAAGAGGTAGCTAAGATAAATTGAAAATTATTTATATACTACTGAATTTAAAACTGAAAATTTTTTCTATTTTTAATAAAAAAGCAAAAGAAAACTTGAAAAATAAAAATAATTTTTGGGCACCCATACCGCGGTACTAAAACAGGTCTGGGTTTGCCCCTGCCACTGAGGAATAACATTATTTTCACCAAACTCTTTAAATCCTGACATTTTTCTTAATTTTTACAACATATTTCCAGGGACAATTTTAGGGTGTGTGTGCATGTGTGTGTAATTATTAAGATTTCAGCCAGTTTTTTGAAACACCAAAACTATTAAACTTTTCTTTTAAGTAAAGGATGGAAATTCAACTTGAAAAAATTGGTAAAATATGAGTCACCCTAATACATATAATACTAACTACAGCTATCAATAATTTGACATTAAATTCATTAAAATCTTCATTCACCTTTCACAACCTGTATTAAATGATTACATTACCATTAATAGCTTTATTTATACACAATACCATGCCACATATACAAGGTAAAAACAACTTACCTTCCAAAAGTGAGGATGTCATTTCTTCATCGTCCATGTAACCACTCTAAAATTTAAAAATCTATTTCATTGCAAAATTTGTATACAACTATTGTAACTTTTGAATACAACAGATGTAAAAATGAGATTGCTATATAAAAAACCAAATACTTATGACATTTTAAAACATATTTTATATAATTAAACTCATTGGTTATAAGAAAATAATTTCCAATTTATCAAATAATTAAACAACTAAAAAACCCTCATAATTATCACTAATAAATTATTAAAAGATATTTAATTTAATAATTAATTATTGAAAGTTTTTTAATGTAACAATTAACTATTAAAAGTTATTTAATTTAGTTATTAAAGTTAATGTTAATAACGTTTACATTAGTTAAATAACAGAATTTAAAAGCTATTTTTGAACAAAAATTCCTGTTGAACTCCCTAGTAGGATGCGTTTTTTGTATAATTTAGTTTAGTAACTTACAGAAATTAGTGTATCATCCATATAAGTTGCTTCAAGAAGATCTTCAAAAGCCAAAGGGAACTTTTGAACATACTTTCTTGCGTATTCTTGGGTTACAAATTGAGCCATAAAAGACGCTGAGTTAATCCTAAATACCAGTCAATTAAAACACATCAGACTCTGGAGTTGGATCCAGATCTCCATGAAATTCATTGGTACTTTTGATCATCTTTATGCATTCTTTTTATCAACTTTCTACAAGTATCCTTTACATGATACTGCTTAATAATATTATCATACTCATTTACAAGAATTTTGTCTTTCATTGAACATTTTTCCTTGTTTTGTAGTCTGTTTTTAGTCCATGATAATTTTAGCTCATATTTTCTGCTTTCTGTTTAGCAAACTGGTCACTATGTTAAGAGCAATAGTGTCTTATAAGTTTGTTACTATTTTTTTAAAGTGTATTTCTTCATCACCTTCAATTTCCCATAACTTTTAAATAGTGTTGTTTGCAGCCGGGCCACTGATTCATTAAATCTTTCTTTTAGTTCCTTAATTGCATAGTGCATAGAGCATAATCCATGCTAATTAGAATATCAATTTTTGGTTTTGGTCCAACATTTGGGAATTCAATATTTTTTAAATATTTACAACTTTTTTTTCTTCCAGTTACATTATTCACTGTAAAAATTTCCAATGTGATAATTGTTTTTCTGTTTAATGATTCCAACTGGAATTCCACTGGCATCTTTTTGAATGAATCAGCTTTTGCATTTATTATGTTTACAGTTATCTTGCGGTGACAACTCAGCAGCTACATCAGAATTCAATATATCTTGGTACTTCTAAATTTTGTTTCCAAACAAAGAATAATTGACACCTTTCTAGAAGATATACAGTTCATAATTGGATGTAATTGGATGTTCAACATAAAAGAGCTTTTAGTTACTAAATCTTTTTTCTTAAGTTCTTCAGAACGTCTTTTGTTTAGAAGTCCCTTCTTGTAAAGCAAATGCTTATGAGTATCAACACAGCCATCAATCACAAAAATTCTTATGGTTTTTGATTTTTTTGACTTTTTTGATTATAATTCAAACATCTGAAGCATAGTTTATTTTTCTTGGCTGTTTCCCATCTTTCTTCAACATTTTTATTTTCAAATGTTGTATATTCCCATATTTTGTGATTATTTTAACACACAGCACTTTTCGGTCATTGGTCATTGTCACCAAAGTATGAATTTCCATCAGATGGTTTGAAACCAGTGTTTTTTTTTTAACCATGTAGAGTTTCTGTTGCTGCAATTAAAAAATCTGCTTCTTCAACAATAAACCTTTTTAAAGTTTCAAGATTTTTGTTTTATCTGTTCTCATGTTTGAATTAATGTTTGAACCAAATGAACCAAATGTTTGAATTTAATTAACATTATCTCTGGAATCTTTTTTTACAGTTGATGGTATAACTGGTGATGGTGATTGAAGTGGTGAATTGAAGTGATGGTGAAAGAAGGTTCCATCACCAAGTTCTTCTGTTCTATTTGCTTCTTTTAAGTTTGTTACTGCAACATCCAATAAGTCGGTGAATTTTTCAACATCATTTTTGCTCAATTCATCCAAGCAAATGAGAACCTTTTTTCCTTCTTCAGCCTTATTTTACTTCAATTCTTTCTTTTGCAGCTTCATAAGCGAATTATGAATGGTGAATTCCTTCAATTGCTTTTAATGCATCACCATATAAATATTGACATAACCAAAATAATTTCTCGAGATTAATCAATACATACGCAAAATTTTCAGGTTTTTATCGCAATTAAACAATTGTATCAAGACATATTTTAGTTGTTTCCATAAATTGTATTCATTTTTCACTTTTTTTTATCTAAATCATTTGTTCAATTTTTCATTGTATGTGTGCTATGTGTAAATTTTATTGAATCAATTTCACTTTCATCTTTTTCTTTTCATCTTCATTATTATCTTCAAACTCATGATTCAACTTTTGAGTGCTACACCATTGATTGGGATCAATGGTGTAGCACAGTGTAGTGCAGTGCTTTTCTGCTAACATTTTAGGTTTTCTTCCAGCCATTGATATTTTAAACTTGATTTTTCATTTCCACTCCACAATATCTATTTATTTACATGTTCCATTGCTTCCCCAAATTGGTCATTTATTTTTTCAATTTCTTATTGAGTTTACTCACATTTTCGTTTTATATCAGAAACTCGTATTTGTTTGACATATCAATCATTACTTCAACAACTTTATTTTGTTTCATTGTTTATTTGTTACTCAATTCACGTAAATCATTTTTACAAGCGAGTTTATTGTTTCCAAGACAATTGGATAATTTGATGTTTTGTTTGCATAAATGAAGAAAAAATCATTTTTTCTGTTTAATGCTGATACTTCATTTTGGACGGTTAGCTGATCTTCTATTTGGTTATTTTATAGTTGATTTCTTCTTTTTACCATTCTTCCGTTGTGAAGAAAATACCCTCTGCTACTAGTCATCTAATGACGATTACAAATAATACCGATTATCTATTATAAACTATATTTGAAGATCAGACTTAACTGCTCACATTGGTTATATAAGTTACTTTTTAAGTCAACATACAATAATAAATTATTTACTTTATTTATACAAATGGTTAAATATATAAATAAAATAAATTTTTAGTAGCAAATATAATCGGTTTTTTTAATAGTCACCCACTATCCAGAGTTTAATTGTTAAGACCATAATTCCGCCATTTAAATAGTTATGCCCATAACTAAGGGATTTGAATGTCTGTTTACATGCCAATTGCCGTGGTAGTTAAATTTAACATAAACTGAATATTTCTTCTGCCCATTGACTTATTGTAATATTTCTTCTGATCAGTTAATATTTAATAAAATTAAGAAAACAACAAATTACTGTTAATAAAGTATCAATAAACTAATTAGGAACAACTGACAAATTATTTATAATTATCTCACCATAGTTAATTCACTACAATTAACTGAAAATGGCTAAGTAATTAATTCAACATAATTAAATAATTACTGTTAACTAATGATGGTTAATTAACTCAGCAGTTAAGCAATTTTAACCAACTAGAAATAACTAATCACAGCTGACTAATTATTTTTAATTAGTTAAGCATAATTAACTAATCATAATTGACTAATTAGAAAAATAAAGAAATTCTAATTTATTTAACCCAATTTGGGCACAACAAAGTGAAGAAAAAATATTCTCTTACCATAGATGTACCTTCAAATAACTTTTCTGTATATCTCTCACAAGAAGCTTGTATAATCCATGAAAATGCTTTGTGAAGTTTCTCAAAAACATTCTTGAAATAATATTTTAGATAAGAGTACTTGGATAAATTTTATTTATACTACTTAACATTTTAAACAACTTAAACCTTTTCATTAATAATTTGACGAAGCGAACGATAAATCTGTCCTCCTCTACTTCTTCTAAAAGCATCTAAAATGCAAGCGCAATAGAAAACTTCACTTAGCGAATGTAACAAAAACTTTGCGCACTTAAAACTAAGGGCAACAAAAAAATAACAGATAATGTTTAAAAAAATTTTCAAAATCTAAAAGAGCAAGTGTACAAATGGTATTTTGAGAACCCAAAGCAAAATATCGCCTATTTTACAAATTTGGCACAGTTGTAGCCGAGTTCGCAAAGTATTATTATAACACAAAAATTTAAATAATAATAATAATAATATATATATATATGTTTATATACTACTTTATTTATTTTATTAGAATTATTTATATCATTACTTTAATATTAGCAACATATTTTATTACTATTAGTTGCATAAATTAGTATATGCAAATATGCAAAGTAAAATTTTATTTTTGTTAGTTATAATTTTATTTAACTATTTAGATAGAACTTTTTTAAAATTAGATTTTTGAAACTTACTACTTTGTTCTACAACAAATATACAAAACATTACACACAAATATTTACGAAACTTTACATAAAAATATATACAGAATTTTACACACAATTATATAGAAAAATTTACACAAATATACAGAAAACTTTACACAAAATATATTTAAAACTTTACACACAAATATATATGTAGTGCTTTACAAAAAAATATACATGTGACACTCTACAACATAATATACCTGTTGCTCAAATTTTTACATTTTGCAGAAAAACTAAGATATACGTGTATATTTAATATAGAATATTTAAAAAATTATAATTTATAACTAAGTTGATTTAATTTGTAAGCGAAAAGAAAAGTTTGCATTTTTTAGCAACCCAGTAAATCTCTTATATTTGTTTTTATTTACTGTATTTTTGTCATTATGAGTCAGTATGAATTTCCAGAACTCTAACCCTTTCTTAAATCAACAAACACACTGTTTAAAGGTTGTACTTTTTCAACTTTCTTTCTCATATTATCTATTAGCTGATGCTTTTGATGACAAACCACTCATATCACATTCCAAATATTCAGAGTTCATTTTACTAAAAACAAAATTGTGGTTTATGGTATAAAAAGCCTTTCTTAAATTAATAAATACACTGTTTAAAGGTTGTACTTTTCAACTTTCTTTTTCATGTTATCTGTTAGCTGATGCAAACTTTTTTTTTTACTATTCCCTGATCTTTATTTAAGAAGTGCAATAAAAGTAATAAAACATTTAAAAAAAAAATCATTTTACAAAAAAAATTATACAATAAACTATTGAAGTGTTTCAAATATGTATTACCTGGTTTTAACACTGTAAAATAATTACCTGGTGTTAACACTGTCTTTCTTGGAAGAAAATGAGAATCAAGTTGAGGCTTTTCTGATTGCTCATTCTTGTAATAAATATCTGCCTTAAAAAAAAAAAAGCATTTTGCAATTATGTACATTGAACATATTAAACTATATATTTTCAAATATTAATCAATAGAATACATTATAATAAAGCCGTAATTGAATAAGGTTGAAAAAAAAAAGCAGTTATCGAATAAAGTTGAAAAAAAAGCAGTAGTTGAATAAGGTTGAAAAAGAGAAAGTGTATAATGAGTGTTGTCATTGATCACAAACATCACTATAGAAACATCACTATAGAAACATCACTATAGAAACATCAATATTGTTGTGATAATGATTAGCGAAAAACATATTAGATTTTTTTGAGTCAATAATTCAAAAGAGAGACCAGACTCAAAAAAAGTCAAGTAGAGTTAAATAAAGTAATCTAGTTAATTCAGGATGATGCTACAAAATTTAACCATAAAACATATCTTAAATCAAAATTAAAAAAAAACAAGCTTTTTTTTTAATTTTGCTTTCATTACTTTCTATTTTTTAATAATGAACAAAAAATAGTACAATAACTAAAAAATAGTACAATAACTAAAAAAACATATTTTGCAACAAAATTACTCTTTTTCATAAAGAACTATAACAAATCTGACAACAAGTGGTGATCTTTTTTACTCACTGGGAAATAAAATTCCAAAATTTAAAAAATGAATTTAAACAATTTGAAGGTATAGCTAGAGCATTCTCATATTAAGATCAACTATTATATAAAGACCACCCTTTTTAAAAGATCATCATTTTAAAAACAAATTCAGAAAATGCAACCAAATGATGCTTTGGCAGAAGAGGTAGAATTTAGTGTGAGAAATTTATCCAATAAGTGAGACTCATCAAACTCAACTTGAGAATAGAGCAGAATCCTACAACAATGAAGCAAACAAATTTGCATTTTTGAGTGATCCAGCAAATTGGTAATATTCATTTTACTTTCCACCATGTTAAAAAGTTCAATTATACTTAGTACATTCTCTTTTTTTTTATTTCCTGATCCGCATGTAATAGAAAATAACACAATAACTAAAAAAACAGTTTTTACAACAAAATTATTATCTTTCATAATAAACAATTAAAAAATTTTAATCAAATTACTAGAAATTAACCCTGATTTAAAGAAAGGATTACTTTCCAGAAGCTGAAAATGAAAGAATGTTATTTATCAAGGATGATTTAAATCCTGCAACTAAAAAAGCTTCAACAATTTTAAAAATTTACCTAGATACACCACGTCAAGAAAGCTTGTGAAATGTACAGCATTTTTAAATTTATGAAAAGCCTCTGATATGTTAAGAGCAACAGCAATAAAAAGTTAGTCTACATAGAATATCAAGAAGTGGGTGGTCATTAGATTCAAAAAACAAATTAGAAATAAATGGATAATAACAATAGATCAAGAGAATATATAAAAAATGTTAATCTTGTCTTAGTTAACGCTACACAATGTTTTCTGTAGCCCAACCAGATGGTAAAATAGTCAAGAAATTATTCAATATAAAAAATTAGTTACCTTTGACTGCAGTTCACCAATAACTGTTCTAAAATTGCTATAAAAAAGATGATTTATATATATATATATATATTTGTGCATGTATATATATATATATATATATATATATATATATATATATATATATATATATATATATATATATATGTATATAGTGGTTATAACTTTTTAATTTGTAAAATAACTAATTTCCTGTCATAAATTGATGAACTTTAGCTCAAAATAATGGAAATGAACTTTATTCTAATTAATTTTCAAATAAAAAGGTCACCCACAACACAAACTTTTTATAATGGTAATATAAGACTGTTCTGAATGTTTTGAGAAATATCTGGAACTTTCTAGAATTTTCTGGAGTCTACTAGAAGTTTATGGAAATTAGCAACATTTAGACTATATAGGCTGCCTGATTGAGCAACGCTAATAATTATATATAAATTTGTATTCACTAGATAGCAGTCAAATAATATAGATGTACAATAACACATATTTATTATTAATACTCTTCAACGATATATTTAAGTATTATCTTCAATCAAAATGTCCTATAAAAATTCCAAAAAGGTGAAAAAAAAAAAGGTGCTTCCACTACTATAAGTAACAAGACAATTTGGATGAATAACCTCATACAACTTTATGAGTCACATAGGAAAAGAAGAACTGTTCCACTAGAATAACAATCACTAGAAGATAACAACACGATATCACTAAAAACCCAAACTGTTGGTTGCAATATGTTCCTGAGAGAATCCATCAATAGGAGACAAGAAGCGAATTGAGAAAGAAGTAACAAGTTAATGGCAAACTAAATTTTCCACATGTACCAAATCAAGTCGTACAGACAAAACTGGATCAAGTGCTGAAGACATGATAAATGTGAAAAACAAAAAATACAATCCAATAAAGTTTTTTACACCACAAAAAAAGACCGTGAATGGCTCTGTAGTGAGGACAAAAGATTGTATTAATTTCAGATTAAAAGCAATGGACAGGTCAGGTAAACAATTCGGTAAACTGTTAGTTCAAAAATTATCCATCCAAAAGAAGAAAAATGTCTTTGAAGCCTACTTCAACAAAAGTAATGGCAACAACAACAACGCCAACTTCTAAATCCAAGTCTGAATATCAAGAATCTGAAGATATACCAGCAAGAACTACAGCAAAACCAAAACTAAAACCAAATTAGTAAAATCTTTAGTTGCCAACCAGCAAAGCAGCAACCATTGGTAGACAGTTATCTCAAGATGGGATCGACATTCAGACACCTTCACAGTCTGGTACATTAAAAACTGTTAAACTTAAAGAAATAAAGAAAACACTACATTTAGAAAGTTGGCCACTGCACTTTGATGGTAAATGCAGTCACCAAGAATATCAAGTGTTAGTGTTAAAGAATAAACAAAGAGAAGTTACAGGCACTAGATCTATCAGACGGAAAAGCAGATACTGTTGTTAAAGGTATAAAAGCTATTCTTGATGAATAAAACTTATAGATTATAAAAATGATTATAGCGGACACTAAAAATGTAAATATTCAAAAAAGGTATGGGATTATAAGTTAGTTACATAATGTAAATATTGAAAAAAGGAATGGGATTGTCAGTAAGATGTTTTACTGCAAATAAAACCTGAAAGAACCACAATCTATTAGTTGTCAACATCATGTTCTTGACCTAGTACTATGCGTAATAATAGATGAAGAACTTGGCAGAAACAACATGTCGCCAATATCAATTTATCCTAGAACTTGTAAGAAACTACAAACAGCTCAAGAAGAATTTCAAGAATTGTAAAGAAGTGATTATTGAACAGTAGGATGATGTGATGGTATGAAACTTCTATTTCATTTAACTTGGGCATTCTACTTTTTTTAAAAAATCTGGAGTATTTCCTAAAGTGGAGTTTTAGAAAATACCTAAAATAAATCATGCAAGATGGATTTCCGAAGCAATACTAGCTCTTTTAGCCTTTATTCTTCTACTAAAGAAAAAAGACTCACTACTCAACATTTGAAGATTTATCTCTTACAGACGGGAAAACCAGTGGTTTACTGACCAAATGTACATTCCAGATGATTATTGGAAGCTATGTAGCAGCTTGCACGGTCACAAAAAAGTGTTAAACTCAGTGAAAAAGTTTTAGAATCAGGAACCATCGAGACTGAAAATTCCCAGGACAATTCAGCATGCAGAATGAGCAATCAAGTGTCTTTAAGATCTTTTTGGCATCTGTAAAAAAAAAAAGGAAACCTGCAGCTCAATATTATTTTGTCTAACAAAGCATAAGAATATTATGCTTTAATTAGGCTGAATACTACGCAACATTTTTCTGATATATATATATATATATAGTAGCTTTTTGTATTTTTAGAATTGTCAAGTTTTTAATTTTATATTTATTTGTGATTTAAAGCAACAGTAAATGTTTAACTCTTTAAAATTACTTAATAACTTAAATAATTTAAAAAATTAGAATTAAAAGATAACAATCATAAAATTGTTTGAAATTTTATTTCTACGCATATATGGTAAACTCAAATTTTTGGTTTGTGGGTAACCTTTTTCAACAAGATAATTAAATCAATGTTTTTTTTATTTTATTTTTTGCAAGCATTCATTGATTGATTAATGACCCGAGAACATAGGATTACAAAAAAGTCATAAGCCTAATATCAAATCAGACACAGCATTCATTTTTATTTAAGATTGTTTCTATGATCTCAACAAGATGTTGCAAAAGTTTATGAGGTGGTGTGCCACCTCATAAACTTGCCAATCGTCAAAACTATTATTCACAAAAGTTTCGACAATGAAAAATGGAAAAACATGTAAAGCTTTATAAAACTTTTTAATTAATAGGTTGCCTGCTCAAACCAAAACCCTTAGCCAATATAGCAGCACTCCTGGCATATACCTATTTGTCAGTTGATGTAGCAACACTCCTCGCATGTTCTAGCTATTTGTCAGTTAATGTAGCATAAGTCAATTAAGGACTCAATAAAAGTCTACCCTTCAAGACCTGAATTTAACTGAAAGTTAAATGAAATTTTGTAATTATTACCAAATTTAATTGAAATCCGAGTTCCTTTTTCAAATTTGGCACTAAAGTTTAAGATAAAGTCAACTTCACCTTTTAGCAAATTTCATAATCAAAATTTTACTGAATATTTGCTGGTCCTTATAGTCAATGTATGTAAACAGTAAAAAAAATAAAAATAAAAACATTCAGAATATTTTTTTTTCAAGTTGAAAAATTAAAAAAATTCTAGTCTATTAAGTTGTGTTTTTGTGGTTTATAAAAAACAATAAAATTAGTTTCCTCAATTAAATTTAATTGTTTTTGCATAAAGTGCATTTGATTTTGTCAATTTTATATACAAAGAGTTGTTAAAAGCTGTTTTTTACCACAAACGGTAATATGAAATGCACCTATAAGTGCTTATGCACAAACATCAACTGAGGATTTGGGTAGGCATATTAGGAACATCTAGAAGGCCAAAAAAAAAATTTTTTTTTTTCAATATTTTGCTATTTCTTTATTGTCTTAAAAATTGCCTACATTAAAATTTGAATTTAAAAAATTAAAGTGAGTAGAACATATTAGTATTGCATCCACTTAAATAAAAAAATTCATAAATTTTATATCAAATACCTGATCAAAAATGGCCATGAGGTCACTAAATAATTGCGATCCATCATTACACAAATGATACTATACCTAAAAAGATAATAAATAAATAATTATATTATAATATATTAAGGAACATTTCAATGCTCATTTGAACATGTTTGACATGGTACTCTCGGCAGTCATTGCAACTGTGGTAATAGCGAGAGTTTCAGCACTTTTTGTTATAAGAAATGTCAACAAAAGTGTATGCAAATATATAATTTACATTAATTTCAAATTATCTAATGTTAAAATATATTTAAAGTTTAAAAATTTTACTTTAAATTGAAAATTGCGGTAACAACTCCTTAAGATTTTTGATCTGTAGCCCATATTTCTGTTTTATAAAGTCTTATTTTTTATATAGTTTTAAAATTTTTGTAATACAAAATGCCTGCATAGCCAAGTGGTTAGCGCGGCGGGCTTCCAATGCAGAAGTTTGAAAAAACCCTACCACTTGGCTTTTGTTTTTTTTAATTTAATCTTCTTTGATTTTTCTAAAATACAAAAAAAAACACTTTTGAAGAGAGAAAGTTGTTTTGTTTTGCATTTTAATTAAAAACGTAAACAAAAATTTAAAAAAAAAGCAAGCTGATAATTTGAACTTGCCTTGCGGTGACCTTGACTTTTTAGAAAGAGTAAGGGGGTTTAAAAAATATGTTTTTATTGAGAGCATAATTGAAAACTTTAATTTTATATTTAAAATAAACTATTTTATTAAATTAATAATTTTTAAAAATAATAAAAAGTTAAAACACCTAATATAAAAGTAATAAGAAAGTTTAAACTTTTACAGCTATTATTCCGAGCCCCCATTAAACAATTTAAAACAACAATGACAGAATTTAGATCATCAAAATAGTATTATATTCCGTATAACATTGAGTGTCAGCTCGAACATTTCTTACTAATAATGCACGAGGCATTGTAGATGTGCACACTGTAATTTTTTTGTATTTCCTAAATAATTTTTTATAAATCTTTGAAATATCTGAATCTTCTTTGAAAAATCTGAATCTTTATCATTATCATAAATGCAATGTATACAACTTGTATTTGTAAATAGTATGTAGTTTTTAATTTCTTAATCTGTTTTTAAAGTTTAATTTTTTAATGTTTTACTTAATAAAACTGTTTTATAGGTGATGTATTGAAATTGTATCTTGACAGGATTTTAATTTTATAGGAGCTTAAGTTGACCTTAAATAGTATTTTTGTAGTTGGTCAATCTACCAATTGTTAATTGATGGTGCAGATGTAGTTGAATTTTTTTTGTAAATAAAACTTTTTTTAAAATGTTTTGTTATTAAGTATAAATAAATTGATTTTCAGTTAATACATGTGGTGTATTTTTTCATTTAAGATTAATATTTTTAGATTAATCAAATGACGTGTATGTTCAATATAGTCATACAATTGACAACTATTGAAAATTGTTATGTTTTGTTAATTTGTTAATAAACGTGTAAATAAAAATACCTTTTATTTTACAAAGCTATTAGGCATTTTTTTAAAACCACAATCTGTAATGATTTGTATTTTATCTATGTGAACTAAAGTCTATGCAAATATCTAACAACACAAACTTCAAGTTATGCAAATTATATCAAATTTTACAGATTACTTTTACTTGAAAAATTCATTGCCGCAATGTCTCCATTTTATAAAGTTTAAAAGGTCTTCGGTTTATTGAACAGTTTTAAAAGATGATAAAGCATGCCAAAGTGTTTAAAATGCTTCATGTGGGTTCAAATCATTTCGCTTATACACTTAGTTTTTTTTTTTTTTAATCTTTTCTAATTTTTTTTAATACAAGGTAAACCATTTTTAAAGGCCTACAGATATTATAACACATATATAGATATTACATACTATAACAAATCAAAGGGAGATAATTTTCTAAAAGCTTTTTAAAATTTCTTAACACATAAAAACACAGTTGGAAATTTTTTGCGCACATATCATGATAGAGATACCTACATTATTAATGTGTAATTAGTTATGCCTGCACAATTAACACACACTAAAGCGACAACTATATTTCTTATAGTAAAAAGATTTTATATGCAAACTTTAACTCTCTTCAAAATTAAGGGGGCAAGAGCCCTAAAAAGCTGCAGATGGTCTGAAAAAAATTAATAGAAACTTTTTAAAGAAAAAATAAATAAGGTCCCTTCCCATTTTGTTGTTGTTGTTGTTCTTATTCTTTTTATAGAAGTTATAAAGTATCGTTAACTCAAAAAGATTTACATAGTTTGCTCTTTTTTAAAATTTATTGAAATAAAGCAAAATTATCAAAACTATCGGAGTGAAATAGACTTATCATGACCAGGATAAGGGTCATGGTAAGTCTGTTATTCCACATATTTAAATCATCTCATGTTTTTTGGAATTTTTTTAACCGATGGTAATTATTTAACAAATTTCAAGCGGGCATTCTAAATATCATTTAGACAGGTGCTAATATCCATTCTGCTGATATATAGCAATTTGCCCTACGGCTACTGAAACATTTAAAGCTTTTAAAAGTTAATTAAATTTTTTTTTTCCATAGTTTTAAAAAGTAAACAATAAGTATAGTTTTTCTATATGTACATAGTTAATTTTCTGGCACTAACTAAAAAATATTGAAGTAAGGAATAAGTATAGAAAAGATTGGTGTGGAATAGATTTACCAAGACCCATATTTTATGGGTCTGGACATCTAGTATATGGTATATTTTACTGTATATGTGTGTGTGAATGCATATGTGTGTGTGCATATATATATATATATATATATATATATATATATATATATATATATATATATATATATATATATATAGGCTTTGCCAGGAAGGCATGCAATTTCACGTCATAATATGACCACGCAAATACTATTTGATTTTACTTAACTTGACCACGTCTGTTAATATGTTTTCAAAATTTGTATATGTTTTAAGAACATGCTAAAAAAATTATCTTAACTATAAAAAAAACTTTACGTAAAAGAAGCAAGTAAATCTTGGTAAAAAAACAAAAAAAAAAAAGAAAAAGAAAAATAACTTAACTAAAACAGCAGAAATAAAATTAAAACTTAACTAAATTAAATAATAAACTATAACGATAAGATTATCTTAATTACGTTTGGAATAAATAACTTTAAACCGTTTATCTTTACTAATGCTTTTTAATTATAATTATGCGAATATGGGAAACGCTTTTTAAATAAAGTAACAACAACTGACGATTGTTTAATAAATGCGCACATTTAAAAGTTTAAAAAAAGGTTCTTAATTCTTTGCACAAAAGAAAAAATAATTAAATCATTTATTTAAAATTTTGATTTAATTTTTTTTTATTTAAAAATATTTATAAGAAATAAATAATTTAAAAAAAATATATATGTTTTTGTAAAAAATCATTAGCAGTGACTTGTTACTTTATTTAAATTCAATAAAATAAAAACGTAAGTAAAAATTGAAGTTAGTTAATTCAAACGGTTTTTTAAAAAAAAGTAGTGTTGATGGTTATCTTCCTTTAATTAGTAAAGACTCCAATAGTCACATGCTTGGCCTGGGCATTTACATTCGTAAGAATTCACCCATTTGTCAGGAAACTAGGTTTGAATCCACAGACTACTCTTTTATGTGCTTTCGTTTAGCACCACTTCACTCTATCACCTTTCTCTTTGTTCTATATCGCTCTCCCTCATCTCAAGACTGCACTCTTCTTGATCTTATTTCTGATCATATTGACCAAGCCCTCATTCTTTATCCATCAGCCAATATTGTTGTTGTTGGTGACTTTAATGTTCATCACACTAAATGGCTTGGCTCTAGTGTCAGTGACTCTGCAGGCATTAAGGCCCACAACTTTGGTCTCTCTCATTCCCTAACTCAAATAGTCAACTTTCCAACTCGCTTTCCAGACAACCGGAATAATTTACTTTCTCTACTCGACCTATGTCTTGTTTCTGATCCTAGTCAGTGCTCAGTTTCTTCACACTCACCCTTAAGTGCTTCTGATCATGGTTTGGTCTCTCTACAACTATTATCTCATTCTTCTTTACCATCAGAATCCCCCTATCATCGTACATCTTACAACTACCTTAAAGCTGACTGGGACTCTTTCCGTGATTTTCTTCCTGATGGCCCCTGGGTAGAAATCTTTTGTCTCCCTGTTGACAAATGTGCTTCTTACATAACTTCGTGGATTCAGGCTGTATTCCCTCTCGACGATTCCAGGTCAAGCCTCACTCTTCTCCATGGTTTTCCTCACATTGTGCTGCTGCAATTGCCAATCGAAACCATTACTTCCATATCTATCAGCAAAACAATTCTCCAGAGAACCTATGTCTGTTTATTACTGCTAGGAACCATTGTAAAAAGGTTTTGTCTAATGCCAAAGCCTGCTATTCTCAGATCATGAAATCTCGTATTTCATCACAAAAATTAGGCTCTCATGACTTCTGGAGACTCTTTAATAGTATCAATAATAAGGGCAAGTCTGTAATTCCACTTCTTTTGTATGGTTCAGACTTTGTCACCTCACCTAAAGACAAAGCTGAATTGTTTGCCAAGAACTTTTCATCAATATCATCTCTTGATGCCACTAGTTGCGTTCTACCTGATATAGCCATCAAACAGGTTGATCCATTGCTCGACATTCGTATCACTCCAGCTTCTGTATCTAAAGTGATTTCCTGCCTAGACTCTTCTACAGCTTGTGGCCCGGACAACATACCTGTTATAGTCTTGTAGAAGTGTTCTCTGGAGCTGTCGTCTATTCTTTCAAAACTATTTAACAAGTGCTTATCAAAGTCTTGTTTTCCAGCCTGCTGGAAAGCAGCATTCGTCATCCCTATTTTTAAAAATTCTGGAGAGCGATCCGATTCGTCAAACTACCGTCTCATTAGTCTTCTTCCTATCATAAGCAAGGTTTTTGAATCTTTAATTAACAAACACTTCTGCTACAGCATGGGGCTAACAGTGGCTGGTGAACTTTAATTCAGATAAAACTCAATTTTTTTTGGCCAATTGTTATCGCAATAGTTTAGACCTTCC